AATTCTCATGTATAAGAATAAATTTAATTTTTGCAAACTGAGGCATAAAATTATCAAAATTAACAATTATCATATTACCAGAGTGAAACTTCACATTACACTTATTTACCCATGAAGTCAAAACTGAGTTTTCGSCAACAGATTTTCCATATTGGTTTTCAAAAGCTGCATAATTTTCAGACAACTTAAACGTTTCGGTGTCAGTTGGACCATAATCAAAATTGTCTACAAATCCTTTTTTCGCAAGTACACGATGACAAATTACTAATTGATTTTTTAAGGCCAAAGTGTACGGAGTATTTCGTCTGGAAGCAACGACATTTGCAGTGGATTTAAAGTTTCGATGTTTTGCTTCAAATCTTATTGACGACACATTACTTAAGGGACCTATATAAGTTAACAAACGTGGATAGTGCACCAAAAAGTGATGTTTTGGTTTAAGATTACCAATAAATTGAATGTATAAAGAATGGTGTTCTTCAATTAAGGACTGCAACAATCTTCCATGCTCAAATGAAACACTTTTTTGTTCAACAATTTCAGTAATTTTAAATAAAAGCAAATAAATTTGCCATAATTGGTTGTCATAAGGTACAAGATCTCCTAATATTAAAGATAAATATTTTGTAAAGGTTTTCATTTCTGATGCTGACATTATAATATGTTGCTTAATAATTTGACTTTTTAATATAGCAGGTGGTTTATTTTCAGATATATCGAAATGAAAATATGACAACCGCCTGTTTAAAGTATCTAAGTCAAAAAACTTATCTATATAAATGAAATGATACAATATATAACCCAAATCATATCGACAGACCCCCTCATAAATATCATGCATAACATCTACAGCAACATTGTCAGCTACATGAAAGTACTTAAGTTCGTTCCATATGCAAAATTCCTTGATTCCATAAGAAAAATTTGTATGATCTACGTCGTAATTTTCGCGATTTCTGTTTAAACTAGAATCTTCAATGCACTGTTGCTGACTAGAAATTTTATCAATTCTACAGAATCTGCAATAATGTGTAGAAACAAAACTTTCATTAAATCCTAGCAAAGAATGTACTCCCAAATTATCGCCTAATATTAACGTCAAACAAAAATATACCTGAAGTGGTCCATCGTTTGTATTTATAGTTGTGCCAAATGTTTCAAGTTTTTTTAATTCATGTATTAAATATTTGTAAGTTGAAAAATTTCCAAAAGATTTTCGTTCATCCGCAAAATTAAGTTGAACAAGAAAAATATTTTCCAAACGCGAAGAAAATTCGGGAGGTATACAGGCTAAGCTAAAATATATTGCACCAATTTTGTGTACGCCAGCATGTGAACCTAAAGGGTTCCCCACTTCGAAATCGTCGAAATAAAGTAATATAGGAAAAACTAGTTTATTTTYAAAATTTGATTTAATTCGGAGCCATAAATCGCTTTGTATAAGATTATAAATTATATTAGTTTGACTCTGAYGTAATTCTAAACTATAAGAATAAATTGTTTCGTATACGTCCGGAATCTCTAAAAAGGCTTTTAAAGTTTTTTCTATTCAAACGTAACATGCATGACATTCTGTTGATTCTAATATACTCTTATTATTATTTCTAACACTGCTTCTCTTTTCACCAATTTTAACTTTTTCTACAGGAATGTAAGCATTGTTATCTTGAAAATATTTAATACGGAGATGTTCGGTTTCTAAATTTTTGAAAGGATATTTTAAACATGAAATTATTTGTCGCTCCACATCTTTTAACATTGATTTATTTTCTTCTTGGGCACTATTAATTAACCGTTCCAAATATTGCAGGGGTAACAGATATAATTCATTAACATCTTTTATAATATTTTGTATTGTATTTGTAGTTATAGAATAATCGCTATAAAGTTTTGAAACAAAATGTATCACTGAATCTCTTAACAAAGAATCAAAAGTTTGTGCTGAAAAGTCAAAATCGGGAGGCACTAAACTTGAATCTTTGGTCCCCCTAATGGAAGTGTCGTTATTAGGTGGCACATTAAAACTAGCAGTAACTACATTTGTTGTTGTTTCTAAATCTTCTGGGTGTTTATGACGTAAATGTTTTTTAAAAGAAAATATAGTATGAAAGGTCCGGAAACAATTACTATTTTGTTTACAAGTAAATTTGTCGACATATTTATGCCTCAGTTTAATATGCAAGGTAAAATTATTGAGCTTTAAAGTCTTAAAACTGCAAAGAGGACAAATGATCATATTTTTATATCAAACATATTTTTAAAAGTTCATACAAAATTAYAAAGAAAGGCTATTTGCGAGGGTCATTACGTAAGGTATTTGCTTGTCCCATTGTGTTGAAACCCCAAAAATTACTTTTTGGATAAGTAAATAAATATGTTCTGCTTCAGGGGGGTATTCCGCACACAGTACATGAAATGTCTTAAATAATAAATCAAAACATTGCAAGGTTGTACTTGCTTTGTAGATGTAGGCGTCGATAATCAGATAGCTCTCTGTTACTTCCGATACTGTTGGCCCCACAACAATCATATATGGTTGGATAGTTCTACTGAGAGCCTTGAAGYGATGACTTCTTTCGGTGATAAAATTTTCTATTTCTCCAGAAATCTGAAACATAMATTTCAAACATTCTATTACAAAATTCATCTAAATGTTTTTTGATACATTAGATAAGTATGTTATGATATATGTATAAAACTGACCTTAACATGATTAATAATACTTTCTTGGCATTCCAATATGCTCGGCTTCCAGTGACTATTCTTAACTCTTGATCTTCCTTTTGGAGGAAACAACACGGGCAAAGCTGCAATTTGGACGGCACACTTACCATCTAAAAAAGAAATTGTTTTAGTAAACTTATGATAAAATAAATACATATAATTTACCCTCTGATAATTTTTCATTTTTTAATTGTGCCATTATAATTTCATCTGGCTTATTTATATTTGGACATTCTAACAGTTTGTTGTAAAATAATTCCCACTTTAAATACATTTTGGTTGCAGCATTAGGAAACATTTTTTTAAAATCCGTATCAATCTAAAATTTTTAGGTTAGAAAATATATTTTTAGGTTACCCACTTGTAATAAAATACATACTAGTACGGTAGCTACTTGATGTTTTAAAATTGGCCATTCGCTTAAAAACTGATCAACAGTTTTTACCGTGCTATTACGACGCATATAAAATGAATTATCCCAGTGCAATAATACAGTATCAAAAGGTTCATTCCAATGTTTTAACCATTTGGCACTGGCATCCATATCGTCTTAAAAATTTATTAAAAATAAAATGTATACCTAGATAAGTGTATATGAGTATAATATGTGATTTTGCTTACCCGTAACAGGATTATTAGACAACTCATTATCGGTTTCCAAATTTTCTTTATAATCTTTGGTAATATTGTACAGTCTTTTTAAATTTCTATATTTATCCACAAGTTTCCCTTTCGCATTCACAGGTTTTTTTTTAGATGGCCCTGCTCCACTACAACGTGGAATGTAATACGTTCCAGTATGTTCACATTTAAAAAGATCACAAATTTTGTTAGACAGATTTTCAAAATCCTCCGCAGTTAATTTTCTAAAATTGTAATTATGTAGTGTTTTAATAAACACTTAAGCCATATTTCGCACCCGTTCCTAGCTTCAGCCATTGCGCTGTTAATAATCAAATTCACTAGCATGTTCCTAGTTTTTGTTGTCAATGTTTTTGTTTTCGAATAAGTTTCTAAAACAAAACGGCCGGCATTTGTCGCATTCAAAAATTGCTGCAAGTCCAAGTCATATGACATCCTGCAAGCCCTATTTAAATTTTCTTCACCTAAAAACGCAAAAGAGCGAGAGCAGGCCTGCTTATAATATTCCTGCCCAGTTATAAGACAAGCTTCATCTGTCGTACTACAGGAAGGCGTATCCTTGCTTACTATAATAATTTTTTGAAAATACAATGCTGAGTTATACCAAAAAAATAGCGGTTACCTGTACATGTTTCATTAACAGTGCCCTCAAAGTTACCGATTAGTAAAACCGGTTCAGATGTCTGAAAGCTAAAATTAGGTAAAAATGTTCAAGTATCTATGTAATTTTTACCGAGGGTGAACAATGTTCCGTTACTATAGGTGAAGAGACTGACGAAAGCGTTAACGTCTCTGGTGTTATTGGATCGTTTTGAATAAAACATTCCGTTTTAAACACTTTTAATTTATTTAAAAATTTTATTCTTGGTCCGATAGTGGGAATTAATTCTTTTAAACTGTTCTCTGTTAGGGATTTTAATGCCTCCATATCTATCTCTTCTTCTAAATTTAAAAATATACTTTAATAATAATGGACCACATTTAGACAAAGATGCAAAAACACAAAAGTCGGAAAAATATAAACTTACTCTCGAAAGTTGGGATATATTTTTCGAACCCCCACTCGGTAATTAATTTGCTCACTTCATCCATTATATTATTTATTTATTGGACACAAAACCTAAGAAAAATTTCTTAAGCTATTTCTCACATAGCAATTAAAAACTATACTATTTWWAAAAAAAATATGTGTGTTATTAGTATAATATTAAAACAAATATCAACACTTTCGATTGTTTTTTACGTAGAAAGGRAAGCCATAACTAACGGTTTTATTATGATTTTAGAACAGAAAACGTGTAGGTATACTTATTATTATTATTGATTTATAAGATTGGCGTTCAAAAATCAGTAAAAACATTCTTAAAAGACAAATAAACCTACCTGATACATAGAAATATTTAATTAATCACTTACCTACTTATCAATCAGCACTTCAAACTACGGCTCCAACGTGCGAGGTGCAAATGTGCTACTGGATGGAGACACACCGAGTCAAACACATTAACACTTGAATTAATGCACACACATATTGAAAAGAAACCACAAGTTTTTAATTTAAAAAATGTATAGTGTTATCCGAATAAATGGAACTTTGATTTAAAAACAATTTTTGTTTAAAAACAACAACTAACGGTTTCATTCAGAAACTTTTATTTGTTCGTGGAAGTAACTTATAAGTGTGAAAATAAATAAAATTCTTTTTCATGAAACAAATTTCGGTATTAATGCGTAATTGTAATTGAGTCAAAATAAATAGTTGTAACACTTTTTGTTACTTGGAACAAATATTTCCAGATGCTTAAAGTAAATTACATTTGTTTAGCCGAAATAAATATCATTTTGATTAAAAGAATAAAATTCAAAAAAGCAAAATTGTTTGTTCTAGCATTTGCTTTTTTCTCAGTGTGTTTTATTGTCATTTACAATTTGGACCATATTTTAACATTTAAACAAAGACAAATAATTAAACATCACGGTGAAAATAATTTGAAATTCCAGACTAAAAACGAGATTTTTGGTGCTCTTTATTTAACATCATATTGATTCAGTTATTTCGTTGCTGCAACTACGATGGTAGTCACTCGAGTCAGTGAACAAAAAAGGTGATATTAAGTTACATTATTATTTGCAACAAAATGAGAAAATAAGAAGTACTCGTAACAAGTTTAGGTTTTATAATTTTTTTCTTGACGCCTAGAATATTTTTTTGTATAAAAGACATAGTTGTTTTAAAACTTTTTTCTGTCATAAACATTTAATAACTGACAATTAATAATAACATTTAAAAACTGACACATTCATTTTTATAAAGATTTTGTTAGCTGTTTTATATTCATGTTTGTCGTCAATACACTTTGAAAGTTTAATACAAATTCGAAAAAGTTGGTTAAATACAGGGCGATTCATTTATAATAAAGACCTTAACCGATTTTCAAACGCAACCTGAAATACATCCTCACAGATAACTTGGCTTTTGTTGTGTATGAAAAGTTTAGTTTCATAAATTTGAATCAAAGTAGTTGTTAATAGGTCATTCATTAAATTTGACAGTGTCAAATTAAATTCAAAATATGTATATAAACGAAAAGAAACTGACATGATCTTGATACATAGAGGATGCCATAAAAATGTTGTCATTGAATCTGTGCCGTTAAAGGTACTGGACAACAATTTTCAAAAACTTTCAAAGTTATCACAGGTATCAAGTGAGGACCACGTTAAAAGCAAAAAGTATGAATTTTGAATGAATGATGTTCACGGCAATGAATGACCATGGTCACACAAATCGCTGTCAGGCATCTATCAGCTTTGATAGATTTCTTTTTATGCAGGGTGTCTTAGTTACGAGTTTTTAAGTTAATACTTATGTCGTTTATAAATTAAATGCAATAACATTTTATAATTCGAACTTTAGAAAGATTTAGGTTGCAGAAATCAGGGTAAAAACCGTTTCAAAATTGTTTTTTTATGCAGAATGTTCCAATTTATGAAATAGTTTTTTGAGTCTGTATTTATTTGGCTTTTCTAAACTATTTTTTTGGAACACTAATACCTTATACTGTTTCTATGTGCATTTAAGCTTACCTCTTATGTTGCCGTTAAAATTCGCTTTATTTATAAAGTACGTTGTCCATAGCAACGTATCTTATGTGTCTATAAAATACGCTGATGCATATTTTCTGTCAATTATGACATACTTTTTCATGATAATTTCTGAATTTAGTAAAATTTTTGATTCAATATTAGGTTTGCAAAATATGTTGAAGACAAGATGGGTTTTATAGTTTAAAAAAAATCGCCTATTAAATTACATTAAACTACGACCTCGATTTTTAAACTGTCTATAAAACTTTAGTTGTCTTAATAGCTATTACAGTTGGAGACAAAATACTTTGGTCGTCAGTTTTCTGACACTTTAATGTAAGTCAAGTTTTAACGTTAAAATGAATGACTATTTCAAATTAATGACAGCTATTATACTTTCCTATCAAAAATATATACATACAACTTGTCAACTATGATTGACAGAAGCTAAAAATAAGGTTAACAGTCCTGAAGCATGCTTTACAATTTAATGTCACTCAAGTGACATTGACGACCAAAGTATTTTGTCTCCAACTGTACACATACACAACAGAGAAATAGACCCAGAAATTTTATTCAAAATAAAGTTTAATTAAGATATACCACACCTGTTTTGTTTGTGAGTGTAAAGACGTGGGTTGCGGTTAAAATTTATAGCAAATATTTGCCTTTGATAAAAATTCTCGACAGCCCAATCGTTTGATGAATGATTGTCAAGATCTTCCCAGGAGAATTATTACATCATAATTTTTTTAGGAACATTTGAATTTGCACGGATGTGCAATTTTCTCGCCTGAAATATTAAAAATCTTCAAATGCCGTCAAAGTTTGAAAAAAGTTGTATCAAGTTTGTATTTGAACGTTTACTAATTAACTGGATTTGCTGGGATTTAAATTGTTTGAAGTGTTTAAATTGCAATACACAACGGTGACCTAATAGAACAGTTCCAAAGATACAATAATGTTTCGTGTTTTAATAAATTATTTATTACAGTTTGTTGCCAAAGCAACTGTTGCTATAGCAACTAGTCGGAAACGTGGTAAAATAATGGGATAAGTTTAAAATCATGGTTGTAGATTGTTAGGTATTGACCGGTTTTGTTTTTCCCAACGCGCTCTTTGTAGATGAAAGCATTTTAATTAAAAAAAGTTGTTTCGGCGATGTAGAGGCTTTATTGTTTGTTTATGTCGTTTAAAAAACCACTTTGTAATAGAAATGTTTTACTCTTGGTAATATAAAAATAACGAGAATCAGTTTCGTTTAATAAAGACCAATCAAACTTACGAGAGCGTCTTAATTAATTATGCCTTAATCGTCGGCATGACGTCTTTATGGCATTACAAATGAGCCCTCTCGGATGAAATATCCTTTCTTCCAACAAGTTTACAATTAGTCAGGCGTAAAATGCAAGGTAGCAATAAATACGCGCGACAGCAACGTCAACATGGCGTCCGTTATATCGTCACGCGCCATCTTACTGACTCTATAAGCCCTCCAACTCAAACAAAACTCTTCCCCCGACCACTTGATCCTCGTGAATTGTTGCGGGAAAATGCTAATTTGGTATCAACATTACACACAACATAAGTCTGACGTTTCCAAGATGCACGATTTAATGGCGGACCTAAATGCAGCCTCTCGCTTAAATTATTCAACAGGGACTAATGCGTCTTAAGACCGAACCACCGACGATTAGTACGGGGGTTCGCATCAGATGGCCGGAAAGTATTTTAGGTGGTACTAGACCCGGACTCGGATGACAAAAAGGAATTGCAAACTCCTTTTCAATTAAACTTTGAAGAGGGAGTTGAGTTACTGTCCTCTCGAAGCGAGTCTATAACTGGGAAAAAAAGGAAAATCTCAATTTCCGTTTTATTTTGGAATTATCATTCCTCGCGATAAAGGACGCGAACAAATTAATTTATAATAATAATAAAATAAAAATTCGCCGGCAACTTCCTGTTATTGACAGAGTTATTAAAGTTTGATTAGGCCTCTTTTTAAAATTAATAGAAAGTTTGCATGCCGGATGAGAGTTCCGTGTTCTGCGTTTTAAATTTTAAATAGAGATTGCAAAAAAACACTAAAGATTAATCTAATCGACATTTATTCTGAAGCGGGCTTAAAAGTTTTACGATCTATTTTGCTCAACAAATATCTGTACTTAAATCGTGTAGATTATTTAGAGCTTTTCTTCATAAGTGAAGCTTTTTGTCATACAAACGCTTTGAAATGCAGGATTTTCCGTAAATGGAAATTATAAAGGTATTTAAGACTGTCACATACAATATATTTATGTACATGAAAAAGTTTTACAATCGGCTAAAGCTTTGTAGTTATCAAGAATAATTATCTGGACACAAAGCGGATCGTATTTTTTGATTTTATTTTTATCGGAAGCTTATTCTATCAACTGACGATTTAATATCTATTTTTATTTTGTACTCAATGTTAAAGAGTGCTTTTGTCAACTAATTTCAGTGGATAAAGTATTATTTTATCGTCTAGTGAAACAAAGTAATTTTTATCTACTGTTTATATTCAAGAAATTCTAGTAGGTAAAAAAGTCCACTCGTGACTTCGACACTCGTAAACTTAACCGTTTCACTCGTAGATAAACAATTTATTTTGTTTATCTTGTCTTGTATAATAAATAACTATAAATCGATGCTTGTAACAGAAAGTAAATTTTATCATAAATTTTGTATTACAATCATGAACATGTTCAGTATAGTCGCAGTGGAAAATTTAGCAGAAGAATTAAAATTTGGATTTGTTGCTGTAGCAACGATTAATATTTATAATCAAATGGGAAGTTCCATATTTAATTTAGTGTAAATAATAAAACACGCTGAAAAATTTTACGTTTTTATTTAGAGTACGTTTTTCTAAGAAGTACACACCAATATAATGGCCCAGTAACACATTTAAGACCAAATTTGTAACGCGCATGCTTGACGTAGAGGTTGCATGTCATCAGTAGCGTAGTTTAATTTTCCTTACACTTACCCAAACCAAACGAAAAAACGTCCATTAGCAAGCATAAATCAAATTTTGGTAAGTACAAACAATTATTTTTTAATATTTCAAGCTTTTATTTGGTACGTAAAGAATGTGATGCAAAATTA